CCCCCCCCCCCCCCCCCATATTGATTTATTTCCGACGGTCTTGTTTGTTGCATATTATCCGGCTATCCATTTCTGCCAAATGTCGAAGAAATTCTGACAAAACAGTATATATGATAATTTAGTTTGCCACAAAAAAATTACAAGAACCAAAAATTATATATATACAAAAATAATTGTGGCGAGAAAACCCAAATAGAAACCATAAGGTTTGTATACATTGGGCTACCTCTTTGATTTGAGATTAAATAATAATGTGCATGATACTAGGGCAAAGACGGATATTCGAATAAGAATGGATTGAGGTTCTAAATATTGAAGTTATATGTAACGAGAAAAAAGAAACATGCAATGTAAAACTCATCAATGAGTATTGTAAACCTGATGTAAACATCTATATGATCTATTAACCCACCAACACGTAAAAATGATAATTATGATCTCTCGATTGATGCCCATGCACCTCAACCATCTTAATATATAGTCATATAGTCATAATATCATCATTTCACTTACAAGTCGGTATTCCACTTATTTTTAGATGAGCTGAAAGAACTCCAAGCAGTACTTGTAAGCATAAATTTTAAAAATTTTAAATATTTCATACAATGCTTGTGATGTTACTCTGAGTGAATATCCACACCGGGCAAGGCTTGAAAAATATGCCTGGCCACGGTGGGAATCGAACCTACGACCTTTGGAATACTAGCCCAATGCTCTGCCAACTGACGGCTACGCGGTCGAGTCAGGTCGATTCGAGTAAGTGATATTTCGGAACTGAGTGTAGCTCCTTCGATAACGATGTAATCTAGTAATCATGAATTTTTTCTGTGTTGGTGTTATGTACTCATGTGAATATGATGTTTGTGATGTTACTCTGACTCTGAGTGTATATCCACACTGGGCAAGCTTGAAAAATATGCCTGACCACGGTGGGAATCGAACCTACGACCTTTGGAATACTAGCCCACTTCGGCCACTCGAACCGACCTGACCGCGTAGCTCAGTTGGCAGAGCATTGGGCTAATGGGCTAGTATTCCAAAGGTCGTAGGTTCGATTCCCACCGTGGCCAGGCATATTTTTCAAGCTTGCCCGGTGTGGATAATTTATACACTCAGAGTAACATCACAAGCATCATATTCACTGAGTATACATTACACCAACACAGAAAAAATTTATTTCATACAATTTTCAAAATTTTACCCAAAATGTATATTTAAATTAATGAAGTATATATACGCATACATGCAGGCTCATCAAAATTATGCACGATTGCAAGGCTTCAGTCAACCACGAGATTGGGATTCAGTCGTTCAGACGGATTGGATTTTAGCCACCGAACTGATTTTTATCGAAGTTACCAACTATAATAAAATGAGCCTTATTTTTTTCATTTTCCATTTCAAGTACGTTAACAATTCGCGTTTAATTTGTATCGATAGTAACAAAGGCTCATGCACCAAGTCGGCTCGCCATTGCACATAAGCATGTACGTAATCTCAACAACTGCAGTCCTTCATAGTTCAGCAATATTTTGAATAAGTAATGCTTTACATTTAAAGAGACCCGAAGAAGAATTGAAAGAGCTTAAAGATGAGATTAACCAGAGAGATGATGAAGTGAAACAATTACAGAAAGAGAGTACGTACAGTTTCGTACAGTTAACAATTTTAGTTGTACCCAGGGACGCCGAGAGGTTGCGCGGGACCCGGGGCAAAACTTCCCCAGGCGGCCCTATGACTTCAGAATTGTAAAACTGGAGAAGCGGTGCTTCACAATATATTACGCTTTATTGCATATTATCCAGACTAACACAGCTAGGCTTCACAATATATTACACATTATTGCGTATTATCCAGACTAACACAGCTAGGATGTATATTCACAGTTAATTTTGTATCAAGATTCCTGTGGCAAATTAAGTGCCTGCCTCCCTCATCTCGGCGGGCCAGGCTCTTCCATTTTCATTTTATATTGATTGTATAAATATTCCTTTTAGGAAAGATCTCAAAATCATCTCTGCAAAACCTAGAAAAAATGTTGAAACAGAAGTCATCGGAGATAATAATGCTACGACAACAGCTGGAGACGTCTGTTTGTAATGTCTGTAGGTCAAAAAAGATGAGAGAGGTAGGTCTTCCACCATAAGTCTAACAAATTACCCTTGTGACCCTATACATATCGGCCATAAACCTTCATTGGCCACTGGGCGATCACAAAGAATCGTTAATTTTCAAGTCGGAAGCGCCCTCCATAACAGGCAGGCTGCGTACATATAAATATAATCAACTGATATAAAACACACCTGTACGTGTTATGTTATTTTAACCGCGAACACGGCCAACCAGCCAAACAATGCACGAGTGTAATGATAAAACACTATTTGATGTTTACTTCATGTTAGGGACAACATAACGCCGAGCCTGAAAAAACTACAGCAGGCGACTATCTTGAACAATTCCATGAATCAATGATGAAATTATCATATGGACGTTATGGAACAAGATTTCAGAGCAGATCAAATCGGAGATTTACGAACACGCAAGATAATTTGGATATCAGTACATGTGTTCCAGTCTTAGTGGAATTACTGAAAGAAAAAGACCTGGAGATTGTAAAATTACGAAACGAAATTGACCAGGTTGGTAGCAGTGAGCTCCATAGGCTGGAGCGAGAACTCAAGCCAAAGATGGAGCAACCTCGTACCCAGGGCTTCTGCGCCTATTAATAAGCGGTTGTTAATAGTACGAGGTTGAAGATGGAGCTATTGGACGTCAGTTTCAGTCCCTTTCTATTGCTTCTGTCTGCGCGATTTGCAAGGAGTGTGCCAAAATTTTGTCTTTTGACTTCGATTTAAAGAATAATATACTGAGGGCCCCCTATACTTTTTGCGTGAAGCGTGAAGGGCTTGTTTTACTTAGCCGTGAAACGTGATCAGGCCCCCTATACTTTTTGCGTGAAGCGTGAAGCGCTTATTTTACTTAGCCGTGAAACGTGATCGATGATTTTCTTAATCCGTTACTCGTGAAAAGGCAAAATATTTTTACGTGAAAGCATATTGTGAAGAGGTATAGGGGACCCTCTATACTATGATTTTATGAACTGATAACTTCATTAGCGATACGGTCTGTTAGAAAAAACTGGAATTAGCTGGGGAAACATGGTATTAAAACTGCTTACGACTTCATAGGTCATAGCTATTGGACGTCAATTCCGCCATCTTGGCTTTATTTTTCGTATATAGACCGAATTACAGATATATATATATATATATATATATATATATATATATATATATATATATATATATATATATATATATATATATATATATATATATATATATATATATATAGAGCTAACGCCTGACTGATTGGTAGTTATCACTATTGACCACTTGTGGTTGAACTTAAAATGAGTTCGTGGCTCGTGCATGATATCTGGAGGACAGCTAGCTGAAATAAACACAGCATAGGAAATAATGAACTTATTTACACAGCTACTCAGCATAGGAAATAATGAACTTCAGTTGCTTTCGCTATAAGTGAATTTGTGCTACGGGTCAATAAAGAAGCATAGGTTCAGGCATTAATGCTATATAGCATGGTTAGATGGTAATACAGGGCAAAGACTTATCTGATGCTGTACATAATTATACTGTGGCTATACCATATGTACTATTTAAAACACGAGCAGGAGTGCTTTATCAGATCTGAAAACACGAGAGCGCAGTTATGTGTCACTCGAGCCTGTGTTTTATATTTGGTAAAGCAAGGACTGCGAGCATGGACCGTTGTTGTTTTAAATGGCTTATAAAAAATGACGACCCATCTATAACGAAATTATGGAATTGTCAAATATGTAGTAATTTTCCATTATAACCACTCAAAGTGATAACATAGTATTCAGTGGCGTAGCCAGCCCGACAATTTAGTCCCGCTATGCAAATTCAAAATTATTATCATTATTCATTTCTTTAGAGTTAATTGTTTTCAGTTTTCACAGTCGAAAATATTTGCATAGCGGGACTAAATCGTCGGGCTGGCTACGCTACTGATAGTATTCAAACTTCTATCACTATTTTTCTCAGGAAATGTCGAGATTATCGGAAATAACCGACAACAGGTGGTCATCAAATACTGTTGGGTAAGGTTATGTATTAAAATTCTTAATAAATCATTTACAAACAATGTCACACCATCTAGATGACCTAATATTTTGAACCAAATGCAAATAAAGATCTAATTAACCCTCGCGCAGATAGACCACCATACATTTCACTAGCGGATTGGTATTATCATATATATAGGCGTACGAAACAGCGGGGGGGGGCAAGACCCCCCCCCGAAAAAAACAACTTTGGAAACTATGGAAATTCGGGCAAATGCTAGGAAAATTCAAGAAACCTGGGGCAGATTTATCAGAAATTCAGGTTATTTCATTACAATCCTCCATACACATCACGGGCAAACTTTCAACTGCCCCCCTCCCCCAGAAAGCATCAGCCCCAAACGCCTATGGGTATTATGCAAGCTGATTGCATTTTAGTTTTATTAATTTCTTTTATTTTTACATACGTTCTGAAAACAACAGCGGAAGATTACCTAAATATAGACATTCCAGACAAAGATATTCAGATTTGGAAACAGAGTAAGTATAGTGCTGGGTTTGGTGGATAATCCAAGTGAGCATATATATATATACAGATTATACACAATTTAAGTTAAATAAGACCTAACTAATATATACAGAATTTAAGAGAGTAAGTATTATTCTCCAGCTCATACCATACCATACTCTTAAACCATACTATTATTAATACAGAGAGTAAGTATAATACTCTTGCATATTTTTAAGTGTGACAACGTACTAATTAATAATTTCGAAATAGGCGAAGGAAACGGAATTGGGCGCAAATTGCCCTCTTAGTTAAAAGATAAAATTTAAATAAAATTCGGATTTTGAAAGAGATCTAATTTTTAATCATTTCCTGGGATTTTTATAATTAGAGCCGTCTTATGGGATTAGCCGAATTCATATTAGAGACGGGAAACTCGTCTTAGACGGGAAACTCTTCTCAGACGGGAAACTCGTCTAATATGAATCCGGGCGCAGACGAGTTTCCCGTCTGAACTTTCCCGTCTAACAGACGGGAAAGTTAGACGGGAATCTCGTCTAGACGGGAAACTCGTCTTAAATTCGAATTTACCCGTCCCTAAATTCATACTCAGACGGGTTTTCGCAGACGAGTTTCCCGTCTAAGACGAGTTTCCCGTCCCTAATATGAATTCGGCTAATGTTTGGACTTTGGGATTATACGGATGTTTCAAATTTTGGCAGGATAGTTTCAGGATTCTTTGGAGCTTTGCATTGTACATGTATGAATGCACTATAAATGATTTATACATTTTCCTTTCATTAGAATAAGATCGCTACATGTTAAATTGGCTGAAAAAGATGCACAGATTAAGATACTTCAGTGTAAATATGGTGAAAGCAACCTGGATTCAAACGCCTTGTCAACGCCTTTTAGAGTTCCTTCGTTTACAAGTCAATCATCAGTGTCCTCGTACCAGGACTCTGGTATCATGGCCGCGTCAGATGGTCATTTCGATGAAGCCACATATCAGCATACAAAAGGTAAAATATACGAGTATAGATTTTCTCCAAAATTCTCTAATCCAATACAGTGCGAAACTCACGACGTAGGGCGCAAGGGCAGGCGAAAAATACAGAGACTGTCAATATTGAACTCGGACTATAATGCCGAAATACGTAGTTTTTTTTCCTTTCAAGGGTATTTTAAAAATCTTTCAGTTTTATGATCTATCCAATTTTATTTCCTTATTTTCAATTTAGTTTTATTCTGTTCAGAAGTAAATTATTCAGTTTTATATTCAGTTAAGAAAAGACAAATGTGGCTACCGTTGTTTACATCGTAGGCCCACCTACTATAACTCCCATACCTAGATATACCACAGATCTAGTTTACAGAATTATAAAATAGAGCAAAGGTAACTATAAGCATTAGAATTATGTGAAAGAGTTATTCACTCATGTAGACAAATCTAAAGCTTACTAATTACCATTGTTCTATTTTACGCTTCTGTAAACCATGCACCCTCGGACGCTACGCCATGTTATTTGCATTGTAGTGGATCAGAGAAAGAGAGACTTGGCGCAAATGCTGTAAATCTACCACGAGTACAATTACTGTGCGACAGACATTTGCATGTATATACTACATGCAGGAAGTTGAAAAATACTTTCAAGCTTTTCTGTACTTCGTTTTAAATTCCCCACATTCCAAACAACGTAATGGATCCTTACGCCTTTTTGTATATAGACGATGGAAATCCTGAAAGATATTCACTTCGTCTTCAGGAATCAGATTATGACGAAATAAATGGACGTCAGTTTACTAAACAGGTAGATATTCAACATATTTCATTGAGTGACCTCGAGCTTAATCTCCCTATAAAAACCACCTCCTTCCTCCTTTTTTAGCTGGCGTTACAATTTGTTTGAAATTTTATTTTAGGAAAAAGAAGAAACAGTTTTAAACGATCATTGTTGGTTTGTGTGACTACAGATGAAGCAAAAGGGGAGGAAAACTGGAATTCTGAGATAATTGGTTCCTGTATAAATCGGCGTGTTAATGGTTCTCTGTAAGCTATAAAAGTAATTTGAAGAAGTAATTTGCAATAAAATTACCAAAAACAATCAACTGTAGAGTGGTTGCCAATTCTTCTAATCACGTTGATTAGACAGAATTGAAAACGGTTGCCAACTAAAGATATGATGCATGTATGCACTGAAAATAATGATTTAGTCAACCATGTTGCATGCATCTGTCTTTAACAGTTCGATTGGTAATATATGCCTGACTTGTTTATATTGTTCATTTTGACATGTGTAAAAAGCAGTTAGAAATTTTAAATACATGGTTAATTATATAATTACATTTGTAACCATGCAGTCTGCAGTTTCTATGAGCTAACAAGGTCATTGCATGCATTTGTAAAAACATTTTTCTCTAAAAGTTCAGCTACCCATTTCCCATAACCATCATTCTCAATAATAAGGATTTTGAGGTGAAACTGTGAGTGTGAAACTTTAAGCGACCTGAACTTTCTTCATGTCCGTTGTTCATATGTGTCCGTTGTACAGAGAGGGTGGTAAAGGACAGAGATCTACACAGCGTTTGTCAGTAGAGGTGATCCACTATATCAAAACATTTATGAATATTCAATTAAGTACTATAACTATTCAGCTATATACACTTTGTGACTAATTAATGTTAATAAAGATGAGCTAAGTGAAAAAGTAAACTTAGTCTTCATTGGGACTACATGCAAAGGTATAATACAATGGTGACCTGACATGGGATGCTTGAGAGTCGTATCACATGACCTCATTTCATTTCTAAATTTGATCATGATACACAAGTAACCTATATATACACAATTTTTGGGAAACATAAGACAAGTACTGACGCAGTACTAAAATTGTTTCATCTCATATTGTTATCGTTCTATCAGTCCATGTACATGCACTATTAGTCTATGCACGCGGTGATTGCTGTTGAATTTACAAATAATGATTTTCAATTTGGTAGATCTTAATTAAAATTGTTTGCCAAAAGAATACAGGTTTCTGCACTATGTTACAAAGCTAGGAATTTCATTTCAATAAATCTTTATATTCTACGTAGCCTTTGTTTTTAAAATTCTGCAGAAGCCATGGCCCGTATTGTACTTCTTTCTCATCCTGGATTTCATCTGGGTCGACAATATTTCTGTTGATATTCACATCAAAACGAGGTTCAAGGAAATACGGAACAGACTGTCGATGACGTCCCATGTCAACCACCCGATGTCTGGTAGCTTTCAAGTGTCTTCCTGTCACTTCCGACAAGACATCACCAATATTGAGAACCAATGAGTTGCTTCGTACTGGTACATCTAGCCATTGCTCGTTTTCATCTTGAATTTGCAATCCGGGATAATCAAACGTTGCAAGTAACGTTATAAACGGTGTGTCAGTGTGACCTCCACAGTGGAGTATGTATTCACCATCACGAGCGCAATCAGGGATAGGTTGTGGACGGATAGGGTAGTTGACAATGCGAAGAGTTGATAATGGATAGGGAGAAAACATATTGTCAAACCAGCTTTCATCTGCACCAAAACCACGTGCAATTAAACGGCTCACTTCCAGTGCTGTGTTGTGCATCAACAAGTAATGATTATAAACAACACTTCTAAACCACTTGGTTTCTTCTTCTCCTGCGGACGGCCAACGATTTGGTTCATACAATGGGAATCCAATTCGAGAACATTCTTCATCGTTTAATTCCTCGGTTATTTCATAACCTTCCTTGTAATTCGAGTCTTGTGCATCTGCTGGGAAATATCCTCGATATATATTCTTGTTTTGGGGATTGAAACTCTTGGTTGCCAAAGAATATTTGCTGCTCTCTGGTAAATTGTAGAACCATTTTGCAGCTTGCTCGATCGTTTCACGATCAAAACCAGCAACATTATCAAGGAAGAGAAAACCCACAGTTTGAAGTGCATCAACAATTTCTTTGGCAAGTTTATCTCGAGACTCACTTGGATTAGAAAAATCAATTACTGGAATTCTGGCAGGTTGTGCCATTGCATTAATTCGATCAATACTGAAAAAAAGATAATTGCACATATTCACACCACAATTTTAAAATAGCGAGCTTCGAAACAAAACTTAAAATAGAGGTCAAGTGGGAGATTGTCACTATCCAATTTAGCATTTACACTCGAAATTTGAATCTACAAAATCATGATCAATCAAGTGGCATGTACTCATTTTCTTCATGCATATACATGTATGGGTTAGGATAAAATGCGGAAGCGGAAGCGGATGCGGAACGGATGGGGTTAAAATGCAGAACGGAACGGATGGGGTTAAAATGCGGAACGGAACGGATATGGGGTTAAAACGCGGAACGGAACGGATATGGGGTTAAAATGCGGAACGGAACGGATATGGGTTTTAAATTAAGTTTTAACCTCATATTCGTTCCGTTTCGCATTTTAACCCCATGTCCGTTCCGTTCCGTTCCGCATTTTAACCCCATATCCGTTCCGTTCCGTATTTTAACCCCATCCGTTCCGTTCCGCATTTTAACCCCATCCGTTCCGCATTTTAACCCCATCCGTTCCGTTTCGCATCCGTTCCGTTCCGCATCCGCTTCCGCATTTTAACCTAACCCATATATGTATACAGTAGAATATTATATAGTTAATAGCTATATCGGAAAATGTATAGCTTTCCCAGTTTCCCTTTGAGTCTTTTTCATAGAACAAACAACTACAATAATTGAACTCGCGGTCATTAACTTTGACGGCGCATGTACGCAACTGACATTGTCCATACTCCATAGTAACCACTCTTTCTTGAGAAATATGTAATTTTAATTTGCATCATCATTTTCAAAAGTGATTCAATGCATATAGTATGTTATCCACTTTATAGTCTTTACTCAGGTGCCATCCCTTGTTGACTTTCAGCGCTCCAAATGCTTCGAAAAAGACGAAAAGCTGTCCAAGTCTTAGTGCTATTATTTCTTCTAGGTTATAGTACATTTTTAATGGCAGACGGTAAGCATCGTAAAATTATATTTTTTGATAAGCAATATAGCGAAGTATTATACAACAAAGGAAGACATAGAGGAAGTTTATATTTTAATTTGTTATGGTCATGCATGTGGAAACAAAATATCTCGATTTATCACTGATCAGTATTATAGCATGAGCATTTATCATCAGTATTATAGCATTCCGTGCGGGCGAGCAGATTTTTTAATCTTAGTTTAGTCTTTACCGAATCACATATTTACATTTAAATTAATATAGGTACACGAATGAATTTCCGCCATTTTCCGACGAACGTTCGCCGTGCTGTTTACCTGCTTGTATAGAAAATCGTAACAGAGTATAAAATAACAAATTTGCAAAAGTGGTTTTACAAAATAAAATTTAGCTGCTGGTTGGATTATAACTATACACCGTTCGATGTCACGAAAAGGTGGGATTGTCGCGTGCTTTGTGATTGATAAAAGACTGCTGAAAACACTATTTTTTAGCCTACTAATTAATAAAATGTAAAGAAATCCATGGCCATGGGGCAGAAAAAAACAAATGTGGGAGCTGATGATAAACCGGGATACTTTTTACATGGCCCATAATATAATTTTAAATAAAATTCCGGAAATCATGCAGGAAAGCCTGAACTCTGATGAATTTAAATAACTTATCCATGCACGTTTGTAGAATATGTTGATACTGAGTTAAGACTGCGATTCATTCAGTTTATTTTTTTTTAGAAAAATTTAAATCCTAAAGTCGATAAAACAGTCTAAGCATACTGAGCATGCATTTTCGGACTAAAAAGAAATCTTCATCACTCAATACTCGCATAGGCACAGAGCTGGTGCGTCAATGTGTTAGCTACAAATTCCGCTTACCGAATTGTCCTGCTAACCCTTAAAATGGGAACCAGCTTCCTACTGCTTTTGGTTATTAAGCTAAACAATGTGAGGAATTTCATAATTAGGTTAGTATTCGCTTACAACACCCATGCCAAAGCAGTGAAAGTGCTAGCTAGTATATGAAAATAGCAACAATTTAATATATATGTCATTAACTATAACTTTCTTACGCAAAATTATAGTGTTCAATGAAACTTGCAGTTGGCATGAAAGATTGAAAAGGGGATTATTTACTTCCAGTTCCACAGACCACAACAAGGAGCAGCCACTGCAGCGTGTTGTAAATTCACAAATGAATATCCACTCCAGTAATCATTTAAAGATCAGTGAAAAATTGACTGTTTTGGGTGAACCAAGGCAAAGTAAAGGTTTGCAAGCTTTATTTATGTTTACAAAATTAACATACATTTGTTTATATAAGGAACGCCTGCTGGGGTGCAAAGCATCTAGCCAGTGCGCAATAGCAAATATATGAAGGAAGACAATTCATGATGTTTGGGTAAATGAAAAACACTATTAAAGCTACAGGATGGTATGTATGTGTCGTATGTGGGCCATGCAGGAGAAGTTCCTTGCATAGACTACTAAACTGGGTGAACGGGGGATGGGTAGGGAACTGGGGAGGTGCCAATAAATGACAAGAACCCATTTCAAGATGGAACCCTTCCCTCGAGTTTGCACTTTTACAGGCTCTTTTCAAGTTCGGGCCCTAGGAATAATGGTTGCAGTAATTGTGCTAGTAAAACTGGTACATTGTGCTACTGGCAATGCTCAGTTTTTGTCTAACTGCTCCAATTATGCTGGTTTACCAAATTTTGGCTAGTTTTTATTGAATTAGCTTTTATTGAATTACAAAATACTCCAACTATATTGTTAGCGGAAGCAAGTTTCTAACTTTTAAATGACAATTTCTTTGTCCTGAAATGTTCTTAACTTTGATAACACAACATGCTCACGAATCAGTCATTGTCCTCAAAATATTCAATGCTCTGATTTAGCATTGCATGTAGTTCGTTCTTCTAACGTTCTGGTCGGATCACTATCAGAAATATCAGTCAGTTGCCTTCCTTGTATGACAGGTAAGTTTTCTTCGGCGTGGCTGACGCCATTGATTTGTGATGGGATAGGATGTGTTTACCAGTGGGGTTCACTCGTCAGCGGTTCCTCACACAAAAATACGGAAAAAGTCACGGTTCCGGAATTTACGGAAAATTGGAAACCTCTGCAGAGGAGAGAGGTCATATGCATATTCTAATTCTTCCAGTCTCAGATACTTGTTATTACTTATTATAATTCAACCGCAATTTATCCCGACGCATTGGCTTATTTCAAATGGATAATGTGGATTTCGTAATGCACAAACAAGTAATATGTTAATATGGCCCATTTAGTACACTGTTACTAGGAAATAGAGCGTTTCCACATGACGTCACAGCCACCATGTTGGTGTTCCAATTCAAAATAATTTTAATTTATAGATTCTTTTGTCTGGAACACCAACTCATGGCCGCCATGGCTTCTTTTTTTGTTGAGTTGGTCCCTGGGAAATTAGTGCAAACGCTCTATAGACCTATCGCGAAACCCGAAAGTTTTTACCGCACTTCCGGTTTTGATTTCCGATTTAGTCCCGCTATGCGAATTCAAAATTATTATCATTATTCATTTCTTTAGAAATTGATTGTTTTCACAGTTAATTAATGAACACGAAAATATTTGCAAGCGCGACTAAATCGTCGCGCTGGCTGCGCTACTGACTACAAGTTGTTTTATTTGAAACTTTGGTTGCAATAATTCACTTCTTTGTGAATACTACATTAGAAACCTTGTGAAACAACAGGTGTTCAAAACCGGAAGTGCGGCAAAATCCGGCATTTGGGGTTTTCGCGATAGATCATAGCCTGAGTTTCACGCCATCGGCAGGCTGCTCCATTTACTGTTCTAGAACATTTGGAACACTGTGCTGGAACGATATAAAATGGAGTGCACATGGTGTTCTGGAACAGTGTTGAGTTTGGTATATGCGTGCAACCATGCATTACTTAGCCTGCGAACAGGCTCTCAATTCAGCTTGAGAGCCTGTTCGCAGGCTAGTTAGGAATGTTTTACCCTAGCATGTGATATCAAATTTCATCTAACTGCAATCTATTTTCATATTTCTTGGAATGACATTTCATTTTTACTTTCAATCCTGGAATTCAAGCCTGTTCGCCGGCTATGCATTACTATATTAATTAGTTATTCGCATAATAAAGCATATGATTCGCTGTTATTTCAGGGTTGGTAGTTTTGCTGAATAATTAGGCCAAACACCGTCACACTAGGCCTTTGTTTTCTTTGTCTTAGCCTTTTGTTTTCTTTGTTTTCTAAACGGCACTAATGACGATTTGGCCTAATTATTCATCTAACTTACCAACCCTGTGTTATTTGTACATCTACGTATGCTTTTGCAACGTTTTTACTGGTTGATTTTGCCCAATCCTGGCGTTCAAATAGGATATAATAAGTAAATATAGCGGTTAACCATTCAAAATGACGCTCTATACAGTGTGCACTCATGGTGTGCACTCAGAGGTGTGCACTGGATACACAAAATATGTCGCCTCCATTTCCAATCACGTGGAAATAGGCAGTGTCACGTGTCTGTTCTGGCTGCTCCTACAAGCTGCTCCATTTACTGTTCGGAGTACTCCGGATTTTCGGAACACTAATGGAATGGAACAGAAGGCAATCACATGACTGTTCTGAACTGTTCTGACTACCTCGATTTTCGAGTAGGGGCAGCCAGAACTGACACGTACTGCCTATTTTCACGTGATTGGAAATGGAGGAGACATATTTTGTGTATCCAATGCACACTGTATAGAGCCAGGGACGCCGGAACTGGGGGGGGCAGGAGGGGCAGCCGGCCCCGTTGCCCTTTACCAGGAGGGGCAAGGGGGGCAAAGGTGCCCTTTCAATTTAAAAGATTGTCTTGGCGAAATAGCGAATTGTCAGAAATTTTAATGCAATTCTTTTACGAATTTGCTTCAAAAAACGCAAGAAATACAGTCATCGAGCTTCAAGAATAGCACAATCGCCTGGCGGAGAACCCTCACACCCCTATCATCCAATAAATAGAAAACATGATTAGGCGAAGTTCAACTCCCAATGTTTTGTAAACATCTCTTAGTATATATCAACCCAAAAGTGCCCTTTCACGAAAATCTGCCCCCCTTGCCTTCACATCGTTCCGGCGTCCCTGTATAGAGCGTTATTTTCAGTGGCGTAGCCAGCCCGACAATTTAGTCATGCTATGCAAATATCACATCATCATTATTCATTTCTTTAGAAATCGATTGTTTTCACGGTCTATGAACACGGAAATATTTGCTTAGCATGACCAAATTTCTGTAAACACGAAGCTCTAGGAAGATGTTCTGTGACTGGTTGACTATGACAATGACAAAAGACGTAATTGGCTTACATGAACAAAAGGAATATTGTTCTTGCTTCGTTCTTTAGAAAATCCATTCTATAGCTTATTCTTTTGTCATTGTCATAATCAACCAATCACAGAACATCTTCCTAGAGCTTCGTGCCGACCCACAAATTTTCGGGCTGGCTACGCCACTGGTTATTTTGAAGGGTTAACCGCTATATATCGACATATACTTATTATATGCTATTTGAACGCCAGGGTTGGGTAAAATCAACGAGTAAAGACGTTGCAAAAGCATACTTAGATATACAAATAACAGCGAATTATTATACGCGAATTATTATGCGAATAACTAATGATATAGTAATGCATGGTCGCACGCATATATAATAAACTAAACACTGTTCCAGAACACCGTGTGCACTCCATTTTATATCGTTCCAGAATAGTGTTCTGGAACAGTAAATGGAGCCGCCTGCTACTCGAAAATCGGGGCAGTCAGAACAGTTCAGAACAGTCATGTGACTCTCTTTTGTTTCATTCCATTAGTGTTCCGAAAATCCGGAGTACTCCGAACAGTAAATGGAGCAGCTTGCAGGCCCCTCTCTCCTCCGCAGAGCTTCCTTAAGTATAAAAGTGAGTGCGCGAGGAGTGATGGGAAGATATCGCTCTTGTTCCCATCACTTCCTGCACGCTACCTTTTCCTGGTGCAGAGGAAAGAGATCAGGCTCTGTTTTCCCTTCCTTAAAATGCATAAAGATCACATTGTTCACAAAGTATAACAAGATAATATTCGGATAATATTCATCTTTGTGGGGCAAAATATGCCCGTATATGGAAAGCCATAGCTGTCTTAAGTGATCAAACGGCATTTTGTTGGGTGCTTTTCGCATTATACGCGGTGCTTTCACCATTATACGCGGTGGTTCTAGCATTATACGCGGTGCTTTGACCATTATACACGGTGCTTTCAACATTATATGCGGTGGTTCTAGCATTATACGCGGTGGTTCGAGCATTATACGCGGTGCTTAAATCGTTATACGCGGTGGTTCGAGCATTATACGCGGTGCTTTCGGCATTATATGCGGTGCTTACACCATTATATGCGGTGGTTCTAGCATTATACGCGGTGGTTCGAGCATTATACGCGGTGCTTTCGGCATTATATGCGGTGCTTACATCATTACCGTATTTACTCGTTTGAGCGCCGCCCCCGATTGAGCGCCGCCCCCGAATGAGCGCCGCATTTGAGATCGCATTTTTTTAAAGAGCGTCGCCCCCGAATGAGCGCCGCGTAAAAAACTTTCCACCATCAAAATGGGGACATTTAGCAACAGACATTTAAAACTTGTTTATTTTATTGTTAAAAGTTCTTCTTATAATTCACAAATAAAAGTTTTTTAAAGAGCGACGCGGCGCTCAAACGAGTAAATACGGTATACGCGGTGGTTCGAACATTATACGCGGTGCATTCATAATTTGCATCATTATGTGGTAGTGAGCCAGTATGTTTGGACAGCGGTTAATATTTATTTAGTTATCAGTCCACAGGCGGCCCAAACTCTGAATGGTCTATATATTTTGAATATTATACGGAATATTTATACGTTATAATCTCTGCGTTGTAATATTTAACGAAATAATTAAAAAGATATCAACAATATACCGGGTGTCTCCAAAAAACTATACCTATTATATTAAAGCTAAAACTGAACGGTTTAGAAATAGTTTTATCCCATATGCAATTAGAACTTATTCGTAGTTTTAAATTAACGTTTTAATAATTTTATATTTTCTTATATAGCTTATTTTGAATATGTATCTTAATTAACTTCATATAATGTAAAAACGTGTAATTCAATCCCTGATTGCAAAACGTTTTTTATTAAAAATCACAATCACAGTATATAACATTTAATTTTCCGCGCGTTGACAGAGCTATTGGACCATTGGCTTTTTGAAATTTAACTACCATTTCTGAAAAGGTTAAAAATTAGCATAAAACGGCATATCAAATTCCAATTTAGTTTGCCGTGTTGATAATTTTTATTCTTGCTAAAAGAATGAATTTATGTACAAAGGATTGACTAACTGAGTTTACTCATCAGGAAAAGCGTGTCTTTGAGCCTGAATGAACCGTTGTGTATGCTCTAGAAATCATGCCATCATAAGCGTTTTGAATCATTTGTTGATCCAAAAATCTAATCGACAATGTTTACAGTTACTCTGAGTGTATATCCACACCGGGCGAGCTTGAAAAATATGCCCGGCCACGGTGGGATTCTTGGATTGAAAAATATGCCCGTGGCCGGGCATATTTTTCAAGCTCGCCCGGTGTGGATATACACTCAGAGTAACACCACAAATATCATATTCACCTGAGTACACTACACCAACACAGAAAAAAATTAATGTTTACAGTATTTCATTACGAATTTGAATCACAATTAGCCCATGCAAAGGACATCAACGTAAATTATTACTTTTTTATTTCATTCTAATAAGAATCAATCTTTAAGTGTAATTTTTATTTCAAAAGTAAATTTGCAAGGGAACATTTTAGTGAAATAGCTTTTAATATAGGTTTTACGTTACATGAACTCAAACAGTGTATAGTTTTTTGGGGACACCCAGTATGTAAAAAATATAGCTAAATTGTTAATAGATGCATTGTTGCGTTTCTGAGTCTAGTCGATGCGATTGTTTTAGGTTTTCGCCGTACTTGAACGGTCGTCAATACTGACACTAAACGACACAGGGTTGTTTCTTCTTACCTGTCGTAACGAAAGACGCTCTATATAAACGCTATATACTCTATAGTTATACTACATTCCTTAGTAATTCAGTACAACCATGGCTCATGCAGGGTAGGGGTAAAACGCGGAAACGGAACGGACTGGCGGAACCGGAATGGCGGAACCGGAAAAGCGGAAACGGAATAGAGGGTAAAACGCGGAAAAGAGGGTAAAACGCGGAAAAGAGGGTAAAACGCGGAAAAGAGGGTAAAACGCGGAAAAGAGGGTAAAACGCGGAAAAGAGGGTAAAACGCGGAAAAGAGGGTAAAACGCGGAAAAGAGGGTAAAACGCGGAAAAGAGGGTAAAACGCGGAAAACAAACTTTGAAACCAAACTTTGACTTTGTTAACAAAATCAAATTTAATCTAATTAAATACCATAATAAAATGAAGTAAAGGTACCTCATTACTGTACTTGAGTTCTATTTTTGACTGAGTCGGCATGTGACAAAGTAAACTTTCTTTGGAGTACTTTTACTTGGAACGAAGTCGTTTAAAGAAGTAACGTTTTACTTCGTTATTTTTATTATCTTGCGAAGTATTTTGTTACTTTCTAACTTTTGTTTAATTTTACGTGATGTATTCAGGATTTATTTTAATTTTGGAATAGGTAATAGGACCTCTACATGCGCCTGGATAGATTTCTTATGTCTTCAACGGGATCTGGAGAGTAGACCATGCCGCGAAATATTGTATATTAGGTGCACCGTGGACGCATCTAATGCGTGTGTTGTTTTGTATGTCAATCCATTGGAGAAGCCCCCCCCCCCTTACACGCCAAAGACAATAGTATTTTTACTTAAGTACGTTTTGCTTCCAGTACTTTTTACACTTATCCAAGTCGTTTTATTGTTAATTACTTCTACTTTTACTCGAGTACAAATTCAAAGTAATTTAGGCACCACTATAGTGGACAAACTGCGTTTACTTTTGTAAAGCAAAGATGCCTTTTTCGCCTCAGAAGGAAGACCATGCATTCCACTATACTTAAAACTTCGTTTAAGATAGTTTGATCATTACTTCGAAGATTATATTCTCTATTAAGATCTTTAATTTTTATAAACTTTTTCTCTAAGACTTGGAGCGGACTGCTCATTAAGAATTTTGTACATCAAAACGCTCATCACCCAATGACGTCTTACATCATATGCCTACCGACTAACAATCGTACATCTACTATATAAAGGCCGGTTTACACCATCAAAGTTACTGTGATCAAAGTGGCGTCATCTCGCCCAAGCAAACCTGTGACTTAAATACTTTTAAATTTAATTTGTGTTTTTGAAGGGTGTTACTCGTGCAAACTTCGTTAATAAAAGCATACTGCATGCAGTGAGCACAAAAACGTTGATAGTGTAAAGGCCCCCCTCCATGTGAAAAGTGAATCTGACATCGTGGGCAGCAGGGTCCGTATTTATTTCGTGAGAAAAAAGATTCGCTTCGCCATTACTGGATAAGTATAGAGGTCAGTTATAATTCTCTCAAGTTGACGCCAACGGAACCGGATCAATTTGAGAAAAACACTTGCAGTTTGACAAAGAATACAACCTACGCAGAATTGGCTAATCGCTTTCAGTGCGAATACCTAGCCACAGTCCATAGGCTTAGTCGCTTTGGTACGCTTTATAGATTATCTCTATACTCTATTATCTATACAAGCGTTGAGTCTGCAAACATTTTCATGATACATATATTTAAAAACATAACATTTTGGCACTAAATACATAACGATTAGCGCGCTGTCAATACGAGTTTTCTTCGCATACACTGTAAATTTCAAGGAGTTGAATCAACTCCGCCGAGTGTTATATTCTGTCACCAAAAACGATGACAGAAGAACTCTTTTAAAGTTATTTCAACTCCTTCAAATTTACAGTGTAGACAACATGTTTCACAAATCTAAGGAACTTTGTAGACCATTTTTTCAACGACCGAATTCATCAAATTTTTAGATATTTAAATAACCCGGAAACATATTGTTTATGCAAAGAAAACTTGTCTGCAGCGAACAAATCTTATTTGAAAAGCCGTTAAAAAATTGTATGTTTACACGCGCAAAAAGTGCAAAACGTGACGTATTTAGTGACAAAATGTTATGTTTTGAAAGGTAAAATGGTAAATATCATGAAAAATTTGGGGAAGTTAATAAACACGCTGACTCGACTTAATTAAATACAGGTTATGGTGTCATATAACTGACAGGGAAATGTTATCTCATTTATCACTGTACTTTTGACAGTCACAGATAACGAAAGGACTAGTTTTACTGATACTTGAAGCGTTTCTTCTCTTTACGACACTTCAAAGTTCTCGCCGATGTTAACTATCTATTGTGTAAGTGTCTGAAGTCTAAACGAACGAAATTCATGGTTTGAATCGTGAATAAAAAAGTCGGGCACGTGCTCGTGCCTAATTGTCAACTAAAATGTCGAAACTGGGAAGCTTTAAAGTTCCATCGCTCATTAAGAAAAGACGAATCGAACATGGTTTGCCAACATTTAGCTGGAATCCATTAAGAAACGTGGAGGAAATTGGCAGTGGTACTATGGATCTATACACCGCGCAATTTATGACAAGGAGACATGCAGTTGTTGTTAAAAAGCTTAAAGGCGAATCGTCAATTGCTAAAGACCGATTTCTTAATAAATTAAGAAAGCAAAGTTGCTTTTTGGGGCAATTGCCATAAAGCCGTACGATCTAGTATTAGTGACGAAGATGAATAGGGAATGGCCAGATAAGTACAGGAGAGAGACACCAGAGTTTCCAGAATGTGTACTTTCACGTAAATCTCCGCTGTATTAAAATGAAGCAGCCCTATTTCAGTCCACAAATGGTGACAATACCCGACTCAGATAGAGCACATTTAACTCCTGTGCATAAACATTTTCTAACAGAGTTTGGTATAATAATTTAATTGTACATAATCACAGCACCAGTTGACTGTTTGGACTTGGACCTTGTTGTTTTGTTTATTAAGATATAAGTTTGTTTATTGGGACATTATTCTATGTATAAGATGTCTAAATTTTACCATTTTTATAAGCAGATAAATACAAAGTCAAAACATTTACAATTGCACTGAGGTATGGATGGGTATAAAACTTACTAATGGACTTTATATTTCAGATTATAGCTTTTATAGAATACATTTTCCCGGAAAATGTTAGCGTTAAATTTTTCCGGAACATGTTACATAATGGATAATTACATAATGGGCGGGGAGGGAAGGGGTTTACATACACTAGTTTTACATAATGGGGGCTTAAATGTAGTTATTCATACCATTTTTTACTTCAATTTTGCAGAAAAGTCCTTAATATTTACCACGTTCCGCAATTCCAGGGCCCCTTCTCCGCACGTTAATTGTGCTCCCTTTTTTACTATTATTTAATTGGGGTGTTAGCCCCCCCCCCCTCCCCATACACCCCAGTAGTTATGTAGGTTAATTGAGGTTAATATTTGAGTTATCAGGGTTGTTAATAGTATCAGAATATCGTAAATGTATGTTGCTTTTTTATGACATAACACACGCCCTTCGTGGAAATCATAGTTGAAGGGACTAGTGTGTATAATTTTTAAATAAATATAGTTTTACCAAGCTACATACCTACCTCGTAAAGAAAAAACTATTCTAAAACTTTTTTCCGCGTTTTACCCTCTTTTCCGCGTTTTACCCTCTTTTCCGCGTTTTACCCTCTTTTCCGCGTTTTACCCTCTTTTCCGCGTTTTACCCTCTTTTCCGCGTTTTACCCTCTTTTCCGCGTTTTACCCTCTATTCCGCGTTTTACCCTCTTTTCCGCGTTTTACCCTCTATTCCGCGTTTTACCCTCTATTCCGTTTCCGCTTTTCCGGTTCCGCCAGTCCGTTCCGTTCCGTTTCCGCGTTTTACCCCTACCCGTGATGGGTGCAAGCAGCTCGAGCTAGTGTGGTTGGCAGTTCAAGATATCACTTGCATGGATCTTTCTTTAGGCCCCAGTTACACGATACCGGATTCACCTCGGAGCGACATCAAATTTTACCGCTTCGAGGTGAATTTGGCACTTACAATTATGATAATATACTGATAATTATGACAAGAGATTAAAAAACACCTTAAATTGATGTCGCTCCGATACGAATCCGCTATCGTGTGACTGGGGCCTTAATCCAATTACCACTGCTAGTTCCTAGGCCACCTCGGTTAACAGCTTGCAACCTTCCAATTTGGTAAGTACGGTAATAAGGGTACTCGAATATTTGGTGCCCAGAAAATGTAAGGCATTCAGATAATTGGTGATGCCTCATAATTTTCGGGTATAATTATAGTATTATATAGATAGCCTTCGTGTTTAACTATACGCCTCGGAGAGTGCTTTTACATGCCCTCTGCAAAGCTGCAGCAAGACAGAAACAAGATGGTTGCGAATGATGTAACATCATGAGATGGTCTTTTGCATTATAAACCATTGGTATGCAAATGAGATTTATGTTACATTCTGCTAATCAAATTTAGATACATTATTGAAAAAGTATTGGGCGTTTTAATTTGGTGAGTTATTATATTATATGTATAGTTTCACGATGATGGT